GCCTGCGGCGCGGGCGGCCCCGGCGGCTGTCCGGGCGGGCCCGGGCGTGGCGTCCGAGCGGACGAATAAATAGGGGCGGGCGGCGGGCGGGCGGTCAGGCGGGCTTGTGGTCCGGGTGGCTCTTGAGCGTGTGGAACTTGACGCTGTCCAGCTTCTCGAAGCGCTTGCCGCAGCGCTCGCACGTGAAGTTGTACTGCACCTCGGCCGTGTGCTTCTTCATGTGCCAGTTGAGCGACGCGCGCTGCCGGCACTGGTAGCCGCAGATCTCGCACCTGCCGGGCCGGCGCGCCCGGGCGGGTCAGGGGGCGGGGCCGGCCGGGCGGGGAGCGCACGTGCAGCCCGCCCTGGGACCGCCCCCCCGGTCCAGCCCCGGGCCCCTCCCTCCAGCCACCGCCCCCCGACGGGAAGCCCTCACTCACTGCAGGGGCGTCTCGCCGGTGTGCGTGCGCCGGTGGACCTCCAGGTGGTTCTTCCTCTTGAAGGACTTGCCGCAGGTTTCGCAGGTGAATTCCCGGACACCTGGGGGAGACGCGAGGCTGAGGACCGCCGTTCGCGGACGGGCTGGGGGCCCGTCTCCCCGAGTCTCCCGGGCCTCTGGGCGCAGACAGAGCCATCCCCACATCCTCCGGGCGCCAGTGCCGCCTGCAGTCACGACAGCAGCTAATGCGAAGGGCGGCTCCCCGCCCCGCATGGGCGCCCGGGCAGAGCTGGAACGTGGGGCACACTGCCAAGCCAAGATGGGTCTGAACTGGACCCCAATATTTGAACTTCGGGGCGATGTCACAGAAAAATCCAAAGTTCCAGCCTCTCGAAAAATCCGAAGCTGTGCCCCCTCCCGCCAGGCCCAGCCACCACGGCTCTCCACCGTGTTCGCAGCTGGCTCTGGGTCAGGGAGGTACTTGGAGCAGAAGACCCACGTCTCTGCCACGAGGGGAAACAGGTCTGCTCCCCACCGTGCCCATCTGGGGGGGGCCCACTGTCCCCCCTCAGCGCTGGAACAACTTCCACACAAGACCTGCTCATGGGAGTGGGGAGGCCGAGGGGCCCCCAGCTGGGGAAGAGACAGCCGATCCCTGCCCTGCTCCATGGGGTTTATAACAGTCCGTGTCACTGTGACTCGTGCAGCTCCACTTCAAGAACCCTGGGGAGGCGCCATGTTAAGGGCTTTACTTCCACCATCTCACAGCAGCCCAGGTGAGGGCACAGGGGAGGCTCCAAGAGGGGCAGTCCCGTGCCCGGGCATCGCCCCGCCTGCCCCTGCCCTGGCTCCCAGGCCCTGCGCCCCTGCGCTGCCAGCCCCGCCCCCGGCCTGACCTGAGTGGATGATCATGTGTCGCCGCAGGTGGTTGGACAAATAGAACTTCTTGCCGCAGCCGGGGTGGGGACACACTTTGGTCTTCCCTTTCCGATGCACGAGGTTGACGTGGTTCTGGAAGTGAGAGGGGCAGGAGCGGGGCTGTGGGTGCTGGGGGCCCACCTCTGGGGCTCTCCAGGGTGGGGACAGACCAGGGCAGCTGGGAGGCCAGCCTCCCTGCAGGAGGGAAGAGGGGAGCGCTTGCTGTCAGGAGGGACTCCCAGCTCCCAGCTGGGGCCCAAGGGCACCACGGGGTCCCAGAGCAGCTTTTCAGAGCCCCTGCTACAGCCCGGTTCTGGGCTGGGGCATTAATATATGAAAGAGTCCGGCTGTTAGCCCAGCTTATGGATGTGGAAACTGAGTCTCCGTGGCGTGGTCTGAGGCAGGGCTGGGCCTGGATCCCAGGGCTGTCGGCGCCACAGTGGGGCTCTCTCCACGGTGCTGCGCTGCCCCCAGGGCCTGGAGCAGGCAGCCCCCCAGCCCTTCCTTCTTCAACTCACGAGGAGCACTGCAGCTCCGGCGCCCAGCATCAGGCCTGGCACCCGGCAGGGGCTCAATCCTCACTTAATGAGAACATGACTCGGCAAATTCAAGGCCCACTGGTGCCACCTGCTGTGCCAGGGGTGCGGACACGACAAGACCCCTTCCCTGCCCTCGGGGCATCCTGTCCAGGCTCTAGAGGGCAAACTACAGGACGTCCTGGCGGGGCAGAGACCTGGGACTCACAGGCCCCAGCGGCCCTGGGGGACGAGTGTGGGCTTCCTGGTGGAGGGGCGTCCTGAGCTGAGCCTGGAGAGGAGGCGTCCTAAGCCGACGGGGGCCTGGACCAGGGCAGGGGCGTTCAGGAGGCTGGAGAGGGCAGCCAAGACCAGCAGCCAGCGGGGTGTGCAGAGGGAGGTGGGGGCTGCTTGAGGCGGGACGGGTGGGTGGAGAGCAGGAAGGGAAGGCACAGAGGCGACACCTGCCCCCCCGGGGCCCGGTGGGGTCCTCCACGAGCAAGGCCGCCCAGACCCCAGCGCACAGGCCGCCGGACACAGCAGCAGGCCCCGCGCGGCCCGCGTGGATGGCGGCCTCACCTGGAAGCTGCTAAGGGCCACGTAGACCTGGCTGCAGCCCTCGTAGGGGCAGTGGAACATCTCGAGCAGGCCGTCGGCGTCCGTCACCCGCGCCCGCTTGCTCCGCCGCCTCCTGCAGGGGAAGGGCGGTGGTGTCGGGGCTCCCACACAGGCGGGCGTGGGCCCACGGCCGCTCCCCGTCCCTGCCCCCCGCCCCGGCACCCACTTCTCAGGCTCCTTGGGGATCTCGTAGATGATGGCCGACATGTCGCTGCCGTCCAGCTCCTCCCCGTCTGCCGCGGCCTCGGGCTCTGCGCTCTCAGGCGCTGTGGCCGCCAGCTCAGCCAGCTCCGGGGCCACCGGCTCCTCCTTCTCCTTCTTGAGCGTGTACAGGCCCTCCTTCTCTAGGGGTGGACACGGGGCGGGTGGCCGTGGGACTAAGGCTGTCCGGAGCCCGCTCGGGGCGCCTCCTCGCCCTCCCCCTCCCAGGCCCCACCGCAGCCCCCAGACAGCACAGCCCCCAGACCTTTCTTGGTCTCGACGCCTGCCATGGCGGCGGGGTCCACGGTGCCAGGCTGGCTGCCCTCGGGCTCCATCTGCGTGTAGGCCGCCACACCCTCCATCATGGCGCAGGGCACCTCATCGCCCAGGCCCCCAGCGGGGGCCCCGCTGCCCGCTGCCACGTTGAGGTGGATGCCCTCGGCCGTGAGGGCGTCGTAGCCGGGGCCCGCGATGATGATCACCTGCGAGCCGGGCACCATGCCGGGCATGGGACAGCTTGCCACCACCTCGCCCAGTGTCTCCTGGGGCATGTTCTCGAAGAGGGTGCCAGGGCCGGGGCCCACCTGCACAGGCACGGGCACACACACCACCGTCTCCAGGCCCTCGGGCCCGCCGCCCGCCGGGTTGGGGCACAGCGGGGCGCCCTGCTCAGCCAGGCTCTCCACGTGGTGCACGTCGAAGGGGATGTGCACGCCCTCCTGCGTGATGAGCCCGCTGCTGCCCGCTGGGCTGGCCGGGGTGACCGCCGCCGCGGCCGCTGTCACCTTGGCCGGCTGACCCTCGGGGGGCTCCTCAGAGTCGGAGCCGGAGCCGGACGAGTCGGAGCTGCCGGCCACCAGGCCATTGCCCACTGTGGTGACAGAGGAGAGGGCGGTTACAGCAGTGACCGCTGGTATTGTCGGTGGCTCACAAGGGGCTGGGCGCTGGGACGCCCCCACTGCCACCAACAGCGCTCAGCTCTGCGTCCCCATCGTCGGAGACGCCCTCCTCCCTCAGCCTCCAGACCCGCACTCTGGTTTCCAGGCCCTTCCTGGCGGCTCCCTCTCAGCCTCTTGTGTTCTTAGGGGTCCGGAAGGCTCAGGCCAGGACCTCCCCTCAGTCCCTCCACCCAGGTCTCGGCCAGGCCCACGATGTTCAATACCGTCCGACAGGTCACCCCAGTTCTGACCCCGTCTGCCTGGAGAGAGCGCAGACCCCGTGAGAAGGTTCAGTCCCACAAGACTGCCCCTGCTTCAGATGCCAGTCGCAAGTCCCAGGCCACCCCTACTTCTGCTATAAGTTGGGGGTCCCACGACCCCTCCTCAGGTTTGATAACATGCTAGAACAACTCACAGAACTCAGCAAAGTGCTCTGCTTCTGATTACAGTTTTATTATAAAGGATACGACTCAGCAACAGCCAGATAGAAGAGATATGTAGGACAAGGTATGGGGGGGGCACCCTCCCAGCACCTCGAGGTGGTCACCAACCCGGAAGCTCTCGGAATCTCCCTGTTCAAAAGTTTTTTATCACCCCATCTCCAGCCCCGTCCACTCCCCAGGGGTGGGGGTGGGGCTGAGAGGTTCCGCCCTCTCATCACGTGTTTGGTCTTCCTGGTGACCAGCCCCCACCCTAAAGCTATCTAGGGGCCCCTGCCTGAGTGGCCCCATTAGCACAGATGCAGGTCTGTTCAAAGGGGCGCCCTGGGAAAGGGCTCATGATGAGTAACGACAAACATTCCTTTCACCTGGGAAATTCCACGGGTTTTAGGAGCTCGGTGCCAGGAACCAGGACAAAGAGGCAATGTTGATTTTTGGGGTATCGCCGCCACCCAAATCGTGGGGCCTCCATGGGGACGGCTCCCGCCAGGACCTCCCGTGGAGCTGCGGACTCTCGCGTCCCACTGCCTCCTCTGCTGCCCCTGGGGGTCTCACGGGCACCTCAGACTCCGCTCAGCAACCCTGGGCTCTGAGTCTTCCTTCAGCGAGAGCCCGCACCGCTCACGGATGTCCCCCCCCGCCTCAGCCCATGGCAGCTCTGTCTGTCCTTCCAGCTGCTCAGGCCAAAGTCCCGGGGCTACCTGACTTCTCTCTCACACCCACTTCCAATCTGTCAGCACAACCTGTTGGCGCCTCATCCGAAATTCATCCGCAGGCCGACGGCTCCTCCCAGCTCCCTGGGTACCCTGGTCACAGCCCCCTCATCCCCCTGCCAGGACCATGCGGTCCCCGCTCCGTGGTCCCCCGGCTCCCACCCTCGCCCCCACTGGCTGTCCTCCTCACTGGGGCCAGAGGAGCCTGTGAACACCTGCTCAGCTCACGTCCCTCCTCGACTGAGAACCCGCTCATCACTTCCTATGGAAGAGACAGGCTGGCTGCTCAGCAAACCCCTCTCTTCCTCCTGGCACCCGGGTGGCCTACATTTCCCAGCATCCCTTGCAGATAGGTGTGGCCATACAGCTGCGTCCCAGTGGGGTGTGAGTGGAAGTGATGGAGCTTCCACATCTCTGTGCCCAGCAGGCAGCCAGGACTCAGGAGGCTGGAGCCACAGGACGGAAAGCACCTGGGACCTGGGATGGAAGACAGTGTGCGGGCTGGGAGCACTGGACTTCGTGTCCAGTGGGAACCAAACTACCACGCTGGGTCACAAGAGCTGGGGCGTGTCTGTTCCAGCAGCTGGCTTTACCACAGTTAATACCCTTCCCAACTCACTTGGCGGAGCAGCCAAGCCCTCACCACGGCCACGTGGCCTGCATATCTGCACCCCCGCCACACCTGTCACCTCCAGCCCTTGCCTCCCCTCCAGCCCCACTGGCTTCCCTCCTGTGCTGAGGAACATGAAGCAGGTTCGTGCCTCAGGGCCTTTTCACTTGCCATTGGCTCTGCCTGAAGCCCCTTCTCTCTGACACCTGCGTGGGCTCTCTCCCTCGCCTCCATCAGGCCCTTCATCAAACAGTATTTTTCAGGGAGAACTTCTCTGACCACCTTGTCTCAAATAGCATATTTTTCTCTTCTTTATGTCCTCCCCAAATACTTACCACCTTCCAGGGGACTCTAAATTTTACTTGTTTATCTTGTTTACTGTCTGCTTCCCCTCTGGACCATAAACTCCACAAGGACGGGGTCCCTGTGCACAGGCCTCTGGTACACAGAGAGCGCACGTTTGCAAAAACAAACACATCTCAGGCCCAGGTTGTGACAAAGGCCCCAGGGATGGACACCTGACCGGGGCATTGGTGCTAATGTCCACACACATGGAGAAACGGGGGAAGGGAAAAGTGAAGGCCTGGCCCTTACGTCACACACTTGGGACACAGCTGGGGGATGCTGGCTGGGGACGACGTGTCCTACACCGCCAAGGGGCATGTGGAGGGCGCAGGCTCCGGAGCCAGACCGCCAGGGGATCCCGGTGCCCACTCCTCCAGCTGTGTGAACGCGGGCGCCTCAGGTTACCTCTCTGGGCCTGGGGATAACGCGGCACCTACCTCGGGGTATTTAATGAGTGAATACGCGTAAAGGGCTTAACCCAGCACCTAGCTGGAGTGAGGCCCCGTCCACTTTCCAGCTATCATTAGCATCCTAATGCCCCATCCCGGCCTCCCGGCCAGGGCGGCTCCTCTTAACACCCTGCAATCTGCAGGGGCCTGACCCCTGGCTCCACCCTGAAGGAGGGGCAGTCACTGCGGGTTGGGGGTACGGCCAGGGTGTGCAGCCAGGGCGTGCGTCTGGGCCCGGCTGTTAAGGCCAACCCTGGACTTCTCTCCCGATGATGATAACACTAACCAGAAAGGGCCGTGCGCCCCCGGCCTCCCAGTCCTGGTGGGAAGTCCTCTGAGTGAGGGGGCAGGGCCACCCCAGGCTCAGGGCTGATACGGGTCTGCTGAGGGAACAGCGCTGGGACAGGGACGCAGCCATGCCCCCCAGCGCCCAGAGCAGACCCAGCTGATGGATCCCAGCGTTCACTCCCCAGAGCCCAGAGCCGGCAGCCGCTAGTGTCAAGGTGGGGTTGGGGTCCCAGGGGGCATCTCTGGGTGCCACCCCATCCCAGCCTGACCCATCACCAGATGGGCCAGGTACGTTATTCCCAGGGCCTCGGTTTCCTCGACTGCTAAGCAGGGCTGATGACCAGCTGTGGGGAGAACTCAGCGTGGTTTGGGGTGCAGCCTGGAGAGGGGCACCGGACAGGATGGCCGAGGGGTGGTCTGCATGCTAGGAGCCTGGCCGACGCCCAACGGGACAGCCATTGGCCAGGGTGCCCTCCCGGATCACCTCTCGCCCACGGCTTCCCCTCGGCCAGCTGGGACGCCACCTGCTCCGAGACGCCTGCCAGCGCGGGCTCAGCCCCGGTGACTGTCCCCACCCTCTGCCCTGCAGGGCGGCTGGCAGCAGGTCCCACGCTCCTCCTGGCTGACACCAAGCCCCCGAGGCAGGCGGGCAGCCCCTCAGCACCCACAGCGCCCCTCTGCTCCCCCACCAGGGCCACCTGGGTCCTCCCAGTCCTCAGTGGGCAGCCAGCACACGAGTGTGACCAACAGGGGATGGCAGGAGAGGGGCAGGGACAGGGAGATTCGCGGAGAGATGGGGAGTAAGGAGAACAGGCTGGAGAGAGGGAAAGAGGATAAGACTGTCAGAGACAGACCCGGAACCAAGAAAGATCCAGAAGAAATAAAGGTGGAGGAAGGGGCTAGGAGAACAGCACCGCCCTGGCGAGTCTGAGGCCCACTGCCCCTCCCCGGACCCCAGCCCTGCCCACACCCGGCCTCAGCTGTCCCTCTGTAAGAGGGGGACCGCCTTCTGGGCTCCATAAGGACTCAAGATTGCAAGTCCGTCCCGCGCCACTGCCTTTCTGGTGGCCGTGATGACCGAGGAGGGCAGGGAGCCCAGGGCGACCCCCCGGAGGCGCTGCAGAGCCCCCGCTGTGCGCCGCGCCCCGCCCCGCGGACCCACCTCTGTCGCTGTCGGGGTCCGAGTCGCTGAGCGGCTTCAGCGGCGAGTGGAGGTCCTGGAAGTACCGGTGGCCGGCCTCGCACTGCCACACGGCCGTGGTGTAGAGGCCGAAGGTGGGGTCCAGCTCGGCCAGGTGCGGCTCGTAGGGGCAGCGGTGCCTGTGGTCCTCGTACCAGATGACCACGTTCTTCAGGCAGTTCACGTTCCGCCGCCGCCCTGCGCACACGGGCCGCGCCGTCAGGGCGGGCTCCGCCCCGGGAACCCACCCGGCCTATGCCCGGGTGACGGACGCTGAGACCCACCCTGGGGAGCACAGACTGGCCAGACCGTCCTCCCTGGGTGAGTGGGTACGCAGTAGCGCTCGTGATTGTTATAGCCATCCTCCTCAAGTCACCGTCTCCAGCCTGGACCACCTCGGTCCCTCTGGCTTGGGCTCTCTGCTCCCACCCTCGCTCCCCGCTACAGTCTAGCTGTCCCCATAGCCGCCAGAGGGCGCCCGTGAGCACTCGAGTCAGGTCGCATCCCTCCTCGGCTTGGAATCCACAGGGCACTCACCTCACTGGGAGGCAAAGCCCAAGTACTCCCCGAGGTCCACAAGGCCCCGTCACCTCCTGCCACGCTTCCCCTTCTCACTCCACTCCAGCCACATGGCCTCCTCCCTGTTCCTCAAACGAGCCAGGCGTGGTCCTGCCTCAGGGCCTTTGCACAGGCTGCGTCCTCTTCCTCCAGGGAACTGCCTTGCCCCCAACTTCACTCAGTCTACCACACCCTCCCTGCTGTCCTTGGAGCCGACCTGACTTGCTGCCCTTTCTCTCCAGGCAGCACCTAGATACCATCATGGTTTTTGTTTCCATGTTACTGTGTCTCCCCCACTAGACCATCAGCTCCCCAGTGGCAGGGTATTCAACTCTGTTGTTCCTTCTGTGTCCCCAGTGCTGACACAGGGCCTCGCACACAGTAGGGGCTGCTGGATGACGGAATGCTTCGAGGGGGTGGGCACAGTGGAGCCAGACCGCCAGGGTTGGAATCCTGGCTCTGCCATTTCCTAGCTGGGTGTCTCCCAGCAAGTGTCTTGGCTTCTCTGAACCTCAGTTGCCGGCTCTGGGCCAGGGGAGAATAAGGGTCCCCATTCCCTGAGGGCTGCCAGGGAGGAGGTTAGGGAGTGAAGACACGGACAGGGCACCGACCAGGGCGGGGCACGCTGCGAGTGCCCGAGAAATGGCTCCTGCCATACGTGTGATGCTCCTGGTCCCGCGGCTGAGAGGCAGGAAGGTGCGCTCTCAACCCTCCAGGCTGGGAGATGAGGATGCCCAGGAGAGGGCCTTGGGCCTCCAACCCAGTGACGACCATGAGGGCCCCACCAGCAGCCCCCTCTCCAGCCGGGACTTGCCACCTTATCTCACTGCCCACCCCTCTGGGATTTGGGGGTCACAGCCTCAGCTCGGCCCCTGCCTCCGAGAACTGAAAAGGGGAGGGGCTCACTGCCACCAGATGGCTGTCCCCCGAGCGCTGGCCCTCCCCCTGCTGGACACGGCCTGAGACCCCCCAGCCCCGGGGCTCAGAGGTCACAGAGGGGGGACGTGCTCCAGGCCGCCGCTCTGACCGCCTACGCCTGATCCCCTCGAGTCTGGCACGCCACCTGCCCTCCTGGCCTTGGCACAAGCTGCCCCCTCTGCTCTGCCCGGCTCTCCCCTGGCCGACTCCCATGCACCGGGCAGGGGAGCGGAGGAGCCACGGGCACCCCTCGGGACACACCGGACCTGGTCTGCCGGCTGTGCGGCCTGGGGCCGCGACTCAGCCTTTCTGCGCGAGCCGAAGAGGAGAGCACCCCGGGGGGCTGGGTCAGGCCCCCCCTCCGGCCCCAGTGCCCCTCCACCCCTTCCCGGCCCTGCTCAGCCTGTCCCGTCTCTCCCTCGAGACTAACGGTCGCTGAGAGAAGGACCAGAAATCACAAACGAGGGAAGGGCCATCAGACGGATGACTCCTGCCCCCCCTGACTGTGGCCCAACTTACGTTTCTTCCGCTTTGGCTTTTTGGGGACTTGCTCCCAAGGCTTCCTGTAACAGAGAGAGGCAGGGGACTGAGCGCAGGGCCTGACGGATGACAATGACAGCTGCTCGGGCTTCTGCTCCTCCTGGTTCGGGGCAGAATTTTAGCTTATTTTCCGGCCTGTTGCATTTCTCGTGGCCCTTCCCCTGGGCTCACAACACCATGGACACCAACCTTGGGGGGGCGTCTAGTAGCATCAGCCACCTCACAGAGTGGGAAACTGAGGCTCAGAGGGGCGAGGCCACCTGCCCTGGGTCCCGTGGCCAGGGAGCGAGAGGTCAGAAAAGGGGTCCAGGAGGTCGGTGTGGTGTGCAGAATTCCAAGCCGGTCCCACGATTCCCACCCTCGGGGCACATGCCCTGTATAATCCTCTCCCCATGAGTGTGGCAGGCCTGTGAATACGACAGATACCACTCCCTGGCTAGCTGACTTGGAATTCATCAAGAGAGAGCCTATGGAGGTGGGCCTGACCTAATCAGGGGTGCCCTTAAAAGGGCCTTGCTGATGTCAGAGACTGAGGCTGAGAATGTGAGGGGGCCGATGAGGGGCCACGTGGCAAGGACCTGAGACGGCCTCCAGGAGCTGAGAGCAGTCCTGGCCGACAGCCAGCAAGACAGCGGGGATGTCAGCCCTCCGACCCCGAGGATGTGATTTCTGCCAACACTGGGAGGGAGTCTGGAAGCAGATCTCTCCCTGGCTGAGTCTCTAGGAGAAGGTGCAGCTGGCTGGTACCCGGATTTCCACCTGTGAGACCTGAGCTGAGGACCCAGCTGGAGTGTGCCGGACTCCTGACCCGCAGAAACGTGCAATGACCAGGGTGTGTGTTTTGAAGCCACTGTCTGCGGTGGCTGGTGACACAGCACAGAACCCGTGCCACCCTATCCAGGTCCTGCCCCCTGAGGCTGCCCAAGCCCTGGGGAGACAGTCAGTCCAGCCTGGAGGGCTGGTGCACTGAGGGCCCTACTCCGACCCTAAATGCCTGCTCTACGGGGACCCCAGGCACTGTGCCCCTCAGCCCCGGCAGTCCTGCCCCTGCAGCCAGCCCAGGCCCCAACACCCCGGCCATCACGCCCACCTGCCTCCGGGCCTCCCCCCCTCTGGCTGGGGCCCAGCACCCCGGTGAGCTAAGGCCTCGGGGAGCGACCCTGGGTGAGTGAGCTTGCCTCCCTGTGCCTCAGTTTCCTCACCTGTAGCGTGGGGTCATAACGCACCGCCCTCGGGGGGCCGGCACGAGGTTACGTGCATTGTAAAGAGCTTGGTGTGGCCCCTGGCAATCAGGCATCGCTCAGCAAAGGGCAGCAGTGATCAGGGCGATCATCAGTGTCATCACGGGGCCAGGGACAGGCCTGGGACACCGGCCTCCCCGCCGTGGCCCGGGCCACGCTCTCGCCACAGCCAGTCCAGGGTCTCGTCAGCTCCACCGTCCACCCCGCCCGACCCCCGCCCAGCCTGATGACAATTCTCAGCCCCCACACCCCACGTCTAGTCCCGGGACAGCAGCTGGGGTTCCTCTGTCCCTCCTGCCCCAGGCTCTGCCCTCTGCCCGGGGCTCTGCTCCCCCTCGCCCATCCCAGGAGCCTCATCCCCTCCTCTGCAAGGGGCCAGGCTGGCTGCCCAGACCCTCAGCCACACCCCAGTCCAAACGCCCCGGCCACCTCCGCCCACCCGTGGCCTCGCCGTGGCTGGGGTGCTGGGAAGGCCACTTTGTGGCGGGGACAGCCTTGATGTCACTCAGATCCGAGTTCAAGTCTCGTTTCCGCGATCGACTGGCTGTGTGACCTCAAGCAGGTCGTGTGCCCTCTGAGCCTCAGTTTCCTCATCTGTGAAGTGGGATAACGGCAGTGCCTCTGATACAGAGTCACTGTGGGGATCAACCGAGGTCAGGCCACCCCCTGACCCTAACGCAGCAGTTTCTCCACAAACCTTCCCACCCCTGCCCACTTCTCCAACTTCTGCCACCTTGGTGGCCACCTGGTTTGAGGACAGCAGTTGCCGGGGCTTCTCGGGGGCCTGGCCGTGTTTTCCTCTCGGTGGCCAGCCTCCAGATGGGGCCCCAGCATCCCTCCCTCGCCCTCCTCTGCCTTTGTTCACTCTGGACTCCATCATTCCCCCCCACCCAAACACACTAGTATTTCTTCCGTCTTGGAACAAAATGATCTTGAGCCCCTTCCCGACCACCTTCCGCCCCATCCCTCTGCCACTGTGCCCGAGCTGTCTACACTTGCGGTCCCCACGTCCTCTCCTCCATCTCCCTTGAACCCCTGCAGTCAGGGGTTTTCTCAACAAAAACAGGTTGTGAGCTGACCGATTATGGCCACCAGGGAGGCCACCTCGCTCAGCGCAGATCTCGATCCTTCCCTTGGCCTCCGGGACACAGCCCTCGCCGGCTCCTCTGCCGGCTTCTGCCTCATCTCCCCGACTTCTCCAAGCACGGAGAGCGGAGCCGGGTTCACGGGCTCCGTCTACACGGGGCCCCTTGGTAATCCCCATCATTATACAAACCATCACCGCCCTGGCAACTCCCACATTCGGATTGCCCGCCTGGCCCTCTCCTCACAGCACCACCCCCACATCCTCCCCGACACCCCCCCCAGGGGCCTCCCAGGCATCTCACACGCCAGCTGTCACCTTGCCCCCCAACCTGTCCCTTCTCAGTTAACAGCAACTGCAACTTCCCGGGTGCTCAACCCAAACCTGGGGCATCTCTTAATCCACCCATCAGCAAACTCTGTTGGCCCGAACCTGAACCACCTCCTTGGGTCCCCGCCCGGGCCCAGCCCCGCCACCGCTCACGGGGACCAGCGCAGTCGCCTCCTTCCTGCTCTCCCCCCACAGTCTCAGCAGAGGTGTCAGTAGGATTCTTTTGATTTTCTCGTTAAGATTTTAAGATGTAAAAAGAAAAATTCGACCCCACACAAAGTTAGAGGGAACAGTAGAGCCACCCTCCTTGAACCATCCCCGGCTTTCGTGACCGTCAACTCTCGGCCCACCTTGTTTCAACTCACACCCCGCCCATTCCAACTGCCACACACGCTGGAGAGTGCTGCTTTTAAAATCTAAGCCAGACATGGGACTTCTCTGGTCAAAATTCTGTGCTAAAGAAAAGATTCCTACCAAGGCTCCCACTTCACTGGCAGGAAAAACCAGAGTCCTCCCTGCAGCACACAAGGCCCTGTCACCTCCCTGCCCTGTCACCTCCCCGTCTTCGTCTTCTCCCACTCCTCTCCCTCACTCATGTTGCTCCAACCACACGGACCTCCTCGCTATCCCATGTACACACCAGGCAGGGTCCTGCCTCAGGGTCTTTGTACTTGCTTTTCCTTCCTCCTTGAACACTCTTCCCCTGAGTATCTGCACGGCTCTCCCTGGCCTCCCTCAGGTCTTTACTCAAATGCTGTCTTCTCAGTGTGGCCCACCCTGACACCCTATTTAAACTTCCAGCTCACACTCCTCATTCCTCTTTCCCTATTTCACCTTTGTTTTTTCCACAGCCTCTATCACTTTCACACATACTACACACTTTATTATGTTGCTTGTCTGCAGTAGACACGCTCTGCCCTCTGCCCTTTAAAATGGCAGCTCCATGAGGCAAATTAATGAAAGGACACTTGAAATTCTACTATTGACCATTGTTTCCCTTTTCCCACTGGCTGCTAGGAAGCTCCAAGACAAATTCATGGCCCATTTGCCATTGCCACTTCTTCATGGCTCTTGAACCTCTCTGGTCAGGTTTTTTTTTGTTTTTTTTTTTTGTGTGTGTGAGGAAGATTAGCCCTGAGCTAACATCCGTTGCCAACCTTCCTCTTTTTGCTGAGGAAGACTGGCCCTGGGCTAACATCCGTGCCCGTCTTCCTCTACTTTCTACGGGATGCCGCCACAGCATGGCTTGACAAGCAGTGCGTTGGTGCACGCCCAGGATCCGAACCTGAGAACCCCGGGCTGCCAAAGTGGAGCGTGCGAACTTAACCACTACGCCACTGGGCTGGCGCTCTGGTCGGGTTTTTACCTCACCATGCCACAAAACTGCCCTTGTCATGTCCCCTGTGACTTCTGCCCCAATCCAGCAGCATTGACCCTGGCCCCACTGTGTCTCCTTTTTTCCATTCTCTTTTCACCCTGATTTTCATTTCTGCCTTCTTGTGCATGTTTTATAGCCCTTGAACTGAAATCCTTCCAGGTATAAGACAGGTTATAAACAACTGAACAACTGAAATAACTGACCTTCCATCTCTGGTCATGTCCACTCCCCACAGGAGACCCCTCACTCAGGTTAGTGTATTTTCTCGTCTACCCATGCCCCCCGGGGCCAGGTTTTTGCCACACGCCACCTGGGGCATCTCAATGTCCCTGCCCCAGTCCTGCAGGCCCACGCCGCTCCGGCTCAGCCAAACCAAGGTTCTGCAATGCCACCTTCAGCTTAGAGACCTCCAGGGGCTCCTTGCGGCCAGTGGCACTCAACTCCAGCCACATACCAGGTCTCCCTGGAAGCTTTGCAGTAAAAAATACAGCGTCTGCAACCCCACTCAGACTGAATCGGGAACTCCAATAGTGGGACATCGACTTCAGGTTTTTTAAGTGCCCAGTGTTTCCTGCTCTGCTCTCTGGCATATAAACGAGCCTGCCACCCTGGGGAGGGCGTGGGTACAATTCAGCAGGTTCTGGTTGATTCTTGACCCTCAGAATCTCCCCCCAGAGAAACGTGCAAATGTGTGCAAGCAAAGACCAGGGCAGAACAAGGGTTTTGTGGCGGCACTGCTCGCGAGGGAGAACAGACATCTTCCTAACAGCTGAGACCCGGCGCGCTCACTATGTGCCAGGCACTGTTCTACGCCCTTTGCTGTACTGTAATTCATTTAATCATCACATCAACGCATAAGGCAGGAAGGGAAAAATTCCATCCACTGCTCATCCTCATGATTGAGACTCTGCAAAGGCCTCTGCCCTCCAGCTGAGCCGCTAACTCGGGGCTTCCTCTTCACCTGCGTCTCCCCGGGCAGAGCTGCGCCCCAGGAGCCAGAGGTTTAGGGGCGTGCGATCTGGACTGTGAGGGGTCCTCCAGGTGTGCGGGGCCTGGAGTTGTGGGAACGGGGCCACCCAGTCCCAGGCGGGGCACCGGAGCCTCATGAGGGGCAGGGCTGGGTGGTCCAGGGCGTCCGGTCACAGTTCCAGGCTACATGGTGGGGCTGCTAGGGGATGAGGCCTGGGAGATCACAGTGGCCAGCAGGGACCTCGGGCCACTGACGCCGCGGGAGGCGGGGCCGCCCCTGCCGGGACTGGGCAGTTAGAAGGCCGGGAGGTGGGGCCCGCCCCGGGATTGGGCAGGCGGAGCTCCCGGGCGGGGCCGAGCGCCCGGAGGCGGGTCGAGAGGCCGGGCGCATCCCGGGATTGGGCAGCCGAGCTCGGGGAGGCGGGGCCGCGGGCCAGGCGCGTCCCAGGACCGGCAGTGCGAGACCCAGGCCGGCAGCCGGCCGCTGGGCGGGGCTCGCAGGTGCCGGGGGCGGGGCCCAGGCGGAGGGGCGGGGCCAGGCTCGGCGGGGGATGGGGGCGTCTCCTCCCTCGCTCCCTCCCGCCCTCGGGCCCCCTCACCCGTGGCGGCCGCTCCGCTGGCCGCGCTCCAGCGAGATGAGGTAGGCGGCGAGCTTGGCGTCGCTCCAGCCGCTGCGGCGCCGCAGGTCCACCCAGGGCCCGTGCGCCTCGCCCAGGTACACGCGCCGCACGTCGTACTTCTTCCGGGACTCGAGCCGCCGCCGGGCCCGGTCCGACTCCGTGAGCCGCGGCCGGCCCCGCGCCTTGCGGCCCGCCGCGCCCTCCTCGGCCGCCGCCTCCCCGCCTGCGCCCGCCTCAGCCTCCGCCTCCGCCTCGGGCTCGGGCGCCCGCTCCGCCATCCCCCCCTCCCTGGTTACCAGCCTCCCCCGTTGTTAGGAGCCCGACCGGAAGTGGCGCGCATCTTCCGCGCCGCCGGGAAATTTCTCATGGACTCTCACTGCCCCGCGGCGCCAAAAGGAGACCAGGACCGAAAGTTGCGCATGCGCACAACAAGCGAGCCCCATCCCACGCTCTTCTTACTCCTTTTCTCTCCTAAACTTTCTAACTTGGCAGAGACGGAGGGAGGGCTAGAAGGTTGGAGGCCAGGCCCGGGAAGAAAGAGCCAGAGGAGCCTGTAGACCGTGGGGAGTGGGGACGTCTCCCGCCACGCCTTTATCCCGAAGGTATCCTGGCGATGATGAGGGAAGGGTGGGAGCTGTCAGGTGAAGTCCTGGGTCCGACCCGTGAGTCCTGGATGCTGGAGAGCCCTTGAAAAGCCGTGTCCCCGGGCACTAAAGGGGCAGGGATGCCACACGGCCAGAGAGGAGGGGAGGCAGCCGCGAGCGGGAAAACCTTTATTTGCTGTACACTCAAAGGTCATCTCATGCTTTCACACCAGTCCGTGGCCTGGGCCCCCGTGACCGCCCAGGCTCAGCTCTGGCCCTGCTGCTGTCGCTGCTGCTGATTGTCGTCCTCGTCTTCCTGGCCCTCGGGTGGCGGCGGGGACGGCTCCTCCAGCCCTGAGGAGGGCACCAGGAGCTCCCCGGTGGAGCCTGCCAGGCGGAAGACCACCGGGATCTGGGCCAGGGCTGGGTTGGTCTCCTGCAGGCCCTGGATCCACTTGGCCAGTGTGGCCTGGTCGTGGGCACCCGTCATGCACATGGCGAAGACTGGGCCTTCCTCCACTGTTGGGAGAGACGGGCCCTCAGAGTTCGTGCAGTGGGGGCTGGAGCAGCCCCCCCATTCCCCACATCCCTGGAGGCCAAGGGCGGGCCTTGAACCCAGCCCCTCTGCCCAGATTGCCCGCCCCACGCTTCACCTGGGTACTGTCGCCTGGTTCTTCAAGATTCCACTGGGAAGCCCTCCCGACCCCCAATCTGAGGCTGGGTTGTTGCTCCTCCCCTGGGGCCCCAAGAATGTCACCTGCCTGTTCCCCTACTGGTCCCAGCTGCCCAAGGGCAGGAACAGGGCCAGTCCTGGTCACACCCAGTAGCCAGCACAGAGGTGCTCCACAAATGCGTGAAGGAGGAAAGGACCGAGGGCGGACAAGCCTGGGGCCCCTGGGGCACGCGAGGTGTGTGTGTGTGTGCCTGTACTGAGGCGTCTGCTGGGTCTCAGCCTGGGCCCCACCGCTGGACCCCGAGGCTGCACCTCCTCCTGTGCGGTGTTCGGAGTCCTGCCGTCCCAGCTTTTACCTTCATCGATGTCAAACTCGTAGTCGTCCCAGCCGCTCCTCCCGTAGTCCAGGTCCAGCTGCATCGGGTAGTAAAGGTTCCACTCCTCCGGAATCTCCTCCACTTCCTACCCCGGGAGGGGGCGCAGGCAGGGGCACAGGCCCAGGAGCTTGCAGCCGCCTGCCGCCTCCCCGCCCCCACCAGGAGCAGCCCCCTCCCCCATCCTGCGCCTCTGAGCCCTCCCATGAACCCTTGGGCATGGCCAGCCCAGCCCCCCAGCTCCCCTCGCGCGTCGGGCCCTCACCCTCTCCTCCGGGGGCAGCAAGTCAGCTCTGAGGATGTGGTAATAGACACATTTGTTGCGGAGCCACAGGGAGAAGGGGCCCTCGACGAAGATGGGCCGGGCGGGGTTGTGGCGGGCCAGGGCGGCCTGCTGATCGGGACTCTGGATTCCTGGGGTGGAGACACACCGGGGGGCCCTGGCTGAGGGGCTCTGCCCAAAGGCCCAGGGAGCCCACCCAGCAGAACCCCTGCACAGGGCCTTACCTACGATGTGCGGCTCGGTGGGGTCCGCTGCACCCGTCGAGTCTTTGGACGAAGGCATCTGCAAGGAAGAAGGGGGTGGAAGCTTGTGGCTCCCAGAGGATCCTGGGGAGGGAGAAATGGGGAAGGGGGACCCCAGCAGAGGAGCTGGGGAGGGAGAAATGGGGAAGGGGGACCCCAGCAAAGTCAGAGCCCCTCTTGGGCCCACCTGCTGGGCCTCCTACATGTCACTCCAGTAACCCCTTCCTCACCTCCATCCAATTCGGCAATGGCCAGCAACAGTTAAGATGCTCACACGGAGGGAACCTCGAAGCCCACCCACCTGTGTTAAAATCCCAGCTCTGCTAGGCTGTGTGACCTTGGCCAAGTCACTGTACCTGTGTGCCTCAGTTTCTCCAATTGCAAAATGGGGATAATAACAACAGCACTTACTTGAGATGGTTCTAAAACGCAGAGAACATTGCCTGGCAAAAAGTGAGTGCTCCATGCTTGTGAAATTTAAAAAAGAAAAATAATTTCACATGCACAGAATATTCCAGGAAGGAGCCATAAGAAGCAAATCAGAGTGTCTGCCTCTGTGGAGCGGGGAAAGGAATACCTTTCTGTATCTTTTTGATTTTACACTCTGAACGTGATTCAAAAACCTAAATGAGTTTTAATTTTTTAAAAAATGCACACACTCTTTGACCAAAGCGTCTGAGATAGGACAATTATTGAAACACATAGCGTCCATCCTTTCAAGTTAAAAAGAATTGAGGCAGATTAATGGGGATGGACATAGAATGGGCTCCCACCCACTGCAAAAGGCAAATGGATAATGCTCTGCCATTGGAGAACTCTTTTTAAAAGTATATATTTGGGGCCAGCCCTGGTGGCCTAGTGGTTAAGTTCGGTGTGCTCTGCTTCAGTGGCCCGGGGTTTGGTTCCCAGGCGCGAACCTGCACCACCTCATCTGTCAGTGGCCATGCTGTGGCCACGGCTCACATGCAAAAAGAGGAAGCTTGGCAACAGATGTTAGCTCAGAGCGAATCTGCCTCAGCCAAAAAACAATGTATATATTTTTTTGGGGGAAAAAGTGTATCTTTTGCTCCTGGGCCCTTTTACAGGACAAGATTTTTATACTGATTTTTTCATTTCAAGTTCCACACTATGGAGTTTTTCTTTTTTTAAATATTTTGATTGTATATTTATATCTCTTTTTCTCTCATCCTAAAAATCTTGGTTCCTATCAGCAGTATACTTGTCCATCAATATACATAAATAGTTTCGATATTACTACTAACTATAACGCTGTGGGATTAAGTCTGGGATTTCTCTGCAGACCTTGTTTGTTCTTAGAATACATGCCCCTAAGAATGGGCAGTTGGATGACAGTGGCTCAGAGTAACGTTTTTCTCTCATTGGTTATCAGTTAACTATTTTCCACATCATTTGTCTTCCTTTGGTTTCAATCTTGGTGGTTTTTTTCCCCTCTTTTTTGATTTTATTTTTATTTATTTATTTATGGTGAGGAAGATCAGCCCTGAGCTAACATCCGATGCCAATCCTCCTCTTTTTGCTGAAGAAGACTGGCCCTGGGCTAACATCTGTGCCCATCCTCCTCAACTTTATATGAGATGTGGCCGCAGCATGGCTTGATGAGTGGTGCACAGGTCTGCGCCTGGGATCCGAACCTGCGAACCCCAGGCCGCTGAAGTGGAGCCCACAAACTTAACCACTACGCCACCGGGCCAGCCCCCCAATTTTATAATTTTTTTAATGCACTAAACAATTCCATAGTTTAACAGCCAACCCATATCAAATAGATGTCTCTTCCATTCCTGTTCTGTCTACCCCATCTCCCCCGCCTGCCCAGAGATAATTTCTACCCGTTTCTGACTCATCTGTGCCTTATTTATTTTTGTGAAAATAGGTGAAGAGGTATATGCACTCTGATTTCCCCTCTGTCCTCTGCGCCCTCCCCATCCAACAGCATCCACACCGCCGCCAGAGGGCGCTTTCGAAACTGCAAATCCTTCCAGAAGCACAACTCCCATCCCATCCATCCTCTTCTTAAAACCTCCCTGTGGCTCTCTCCCCCGACCAAGTTCAAAACGAAGCTCTTTAGCCCGGCGTCCTCCTGCCTCTTCTCCCCCACCCCGATCCCCTGCACGGGCCAAAGGAAGCCCTTTCTGCGTCCCCAGTGACTCTGAGCCCTGGCCCACACAGTTCCCTCTGCCTGGAATGCTCTCCCCGCTGCCTCTTCTGTCCTGCCTGAGCCCAGCTCACCCTCACCTCCTCCAGGAAGCCCTCCCTGCCCCCTGCCCCTTCTGGTCTCCCACAGCCCCCAGGGCTTCTCCATCTCAGAACCAGCAGCGCTGAGAGAAACCGTGTCATCTGGGCTGGCCTCCAGGACGAGACAACAAGTGCTATGAGGGGCTCTCCTGGGATCCCCCGTGTGGCCTGGCATGAGTGGGGGCCCCCAGGGCCTGGTGGGGGGGGGGTGGTGTGGAATATTTCACTCAGTCATTCAACAAACAACTGCTGAGTGTCAGCTCTGTGCCAGCCCCTGTGCTGGGCCTTGGGAGACATAGGGGAAACTGAGTCATAGTGAATGAGCCACCAAGCTCAGCACAGGGAAGGGGTGGTCCCTCAGCCAGGGTGGTCTGGAAAGGGGTCCTGAGGAAGGGATGGTGGAGCTGAGACGGGAAGAACATGCAGTCCCCAGGGACAAGTGTTCCTGGCAGAGGGAACAGCAAGTGCAAAGGCCTGAGGAGGGCACTGGCACAGAATGCTCAAGGAACAGAGAGGAAGGCAGACAGCTGGAACAGAGTGAGTGTGGGAGAGGGGGAGGAGCAGAGGTCAGAGGTCAAGCTGTGGCGAGGAGGGCTCAGCCTGGGGCCACGGCCTGTGTCACCACAATCACTCACGGCAGTGAAGGGGACCGTCCCTGGGCGGATACCTGGTAGATGGTGACCCTGGCGCTGAGGTCGGGCTCCATGTGCCGCAGGCCCAACCTGGCCAGGTCCACAGGGTCCTGGGGCAGCTCACGGGGCACGGGGAAGGGGTTGATATTCTTGAAGCGCGAGAACCACAGCTTCATGCGCACGAACTTGAGCATGGGGTAGCTTTTACGGCCGAATATCTGAATGAGCAGGAACTCCGTCTCCTTGCTGGGCATCACCCCTGTGCCGGGCAGACGCAGGCAGA